GTGTAGGGTTTTATTTTACGGTGATGAAAATGTTTTTGAACTAGAGATATGGTTGCACAACATTGTGAATGTACTAGATACCATCAAATTGTACACTTGAAAATAGTTAAAATAGTAAATTTTATGTTATACAAATTTTATCTCAAAGCCAAAAAAAAAAAAAAGGATCCGTGTTCTATAAACTTTCCTAATAGAGATAGATTTTAAGAAATCAGGCAAAATCTGCGAGTGGATTGGCTCACTCAGGAAGCAAACACTCTGAAATAGACAACATGCCGTATCTGTGCCTCCACAGTGTTGGACTCTTGACGGGGTAGGGAGTAAATGGTTTTCCAGTTTGACTGGAGTAGTAGATAGGATCAGAACCCTGTGATTAAGGGCAAAGAAGCTTGTTTCCATCTGTCCGATGAAATTCTATTGATTGGAAAGTTTGCCCCCAGAATCCAGGAGGTTTAGCTCTTCTGACGCTCAGAGACTTATGGAGAAAGTGATTGCTGAGACAAATTTTCTTAAAGTGTGGGGTGGAGGCTCAGGTTATTTAATTTGAATATAAGCAGAAGGGCAACCCTAGAAGCTAGCGGTATAGGGACCATGCTGGCAGTTGGCAACTGAGTAACCTTTACGTAGCCTGGGAGGGGAGACGGAGACTTGAGGAGCAAGGTCAGGAGGCTGTCATGACCCCATGCCCTCGTCATTTGCAAGTGGGCCTGGCCGGAAGGGATGTGATGCTGTCAAGAGAAGCAGAAAATAGATCTCTCTCCTGGAAATTCAATTTATATAATTTATCTTTTTTGTTGTTTAATATTTGCCTCCCTTGCTGGACTCTAAATTCCGCAAGGGCAGGGGCCGTGCCTGTTATATTTACCACCGTATGTTCAGCAGTGCTTGGCACACCGTGGTGGGCTCTCAGTCCATCTCTGTTGATTGACAACTGGAGGCCACAGGTAAGGCCCCTTGGTGAGAGCTGAAGGCCGCCAGCAGGGCTGCCAGACAGGGCGGTGGGGTGAGGTGAGGCAAGTCTGTGAGCAAACCTTGGCAACATGGTACCATGAGGGTGAGAATGGGCTCACTCAGCACTTTGGGAGAAGGACTGTAATCAAAAGAGGCTTCCTTGAAGTGGTGACACCTGAGCTGAGTCTCAAGGTAGGACCAAGGGTCAGTGGGTCGGAGACTGGACATGCAGTTCCTGCAGAGCAAGCCACACGTGCAGGGCCGCAGGCAGCTGACCAGCCCTGCGACTGTGGGGCAGCCGCTAGGGGGAGCCTGGCTGAGGCCGGACCTTGTTGGGATTCTACCCTGAAGGCCAGGAAAGCAACTGGAGGAGGGGGGGACATAGTCGGGTCTGTTACCGTGGAACCCGCTGCGGCTGCTCTCTGACGTGGATGTGAGGGTAAGGAAGGTAGGAGGCTGCAGAAACAGTTTTAGAGCAGGAAGAGAAAGGAGGAGAGGGCTGCCTTGTGGAACTACAAGGATTACGTGCATGAAAAAGAGGGGAATGATTTGAGAGCGTTTTTGGTGGGTGGATTTGTTGGGACTTGGTGACTGACGGCTGGCTATTGGGAAGGAGACAAAAGGGGCAGCCTAGGGTTGTGACAATGGTGATAGTGACAATGCTCATAGCTAACAGGTGGTGGGTGCCGATGCTCCAGGGACTGTGCTAAATGCCTCACACACACCGTGTCACCTGAGCCTCATCACGACCCACTGACGTAGAGACTGTTTTTGTCCTGGTTATATGGATGAGGAAATTGAGACCCGGAGAAGCTATGACTTGGCCAAGCCCACCCAGTTAGCATGCAGAGTAGCCACGGTTTACCTCGGCAGATGGACTAGGGTCTTGTCCCCAGGTTTTAGTTGGGGTGGCTGGGTGGGTGATGGCCCCACCCCTCAGTCTAAAGGAGCAGGAGGAGGAGAATGGTGGACTGGTGGTGAAATGACAAATTGTGTTTGGGACCAGGTGAGCTGGAGGTGCTGTGGATTATTCCATGATACCCCACAGGCATTTGCGAGTCAAGAGGACAGCTCTGGGAGGACCCTGTTAGAGGGGGAGACTTAGGAGGCAGTAGCCTACAGACGGTAGTTGAAGTCCTGGGAAAGAGACAACCTCATGCTCTAGGAGACAGCATGAGAGTGAGGAGAGAAAAGGTCAAGAAGGGGACCAGGGGACACCAAAGAACCAAACGTCCTTTGGATACGCCCATCAGGAAGTCCCTGGGAACCAGGGTGAGAGTGGCGCCTCACTTAGGGTAAGGGAAGAAACAAGGGTGCAGTGATTAGAAGCAAAATCTGCTCTGTTAAGGTTGCAGTAGAAGAAGAGAATGTCACTAGAAGGCATTAGGGGTGTAGAGGACTATTTTTCTCTTTTGATTATTAAGATGAGAGAGATTTGCAAACGTTACAGGCTAGAGAGATGGAGTAAGTGGAAAGGGTGAGTTTGATAATGGGAGGGAAGAGAAGCGATAGAGGGATGCTCCTGAGGCAGTGGAGGGGTGAGGTGAGGGCATCGGCCTTCAGAAAGGACAGGAACACTTCCTTTAAGTCCAGAGAGAAGGACAGTATAGGTTTGAACCCACCGTGAGCAGGACACAGGGGCTTTAGAAAGGTGAGAGTGGGCCAAGGGCTCCAGCTACGGATGCATTGCTGCGTTTGCACTGAGGCACCCTTTCCACAGGCTGCGCAAAGCCAAGACTAAGCGTGGCAGGGACACGATTCCCAGGGAACCGTTTTCCGGGAGACGTGGCGCTGCTGTTATGGTCGACCTTGGCTCAAGGACACCCCGGTGGCCTTGCTGAACTTCCGGAACTGCGCAGCAGCCTTGGATACTTTCACCTAATGCCCCTCCCTCTCTCCTTCACTGGGGTCTGTCCGCTCTCCCAGCTTTCCCTGGCTCCCTTTCCATTTATCCCACTTAGTCCTGTTGGCATCTGTGTTGCGGGGGACCCAGGCTGACATGGCCACCTGTACACAGGCACAAGTGGATGAAACCAGAAAGGTCGAGCAAATTCAGATCACTCGATGATCGATGCTGAGCCCAGGGAGACGATGACAGATCTGAATGTGACAGCAAACGGGTGGTGGCGGGACCCCGGGTGCTTTCTCCTAGAGGTTTGCCACTCACCGTGGCTGCCCACAGGTGTGAGGGGGATTCTCGGGAGGTCCAGGCAGGCATGCCCATGAGGATGGGTGTGATGAGGGGTGGTGGGAAGTGGGGGAGAAGCTGAAGGGGCTCCCACCTGGTCATCTGAGAGTAGGAAATGAGGTCGTCCACTGTGCACATGGAGTCAGTGGGGTGGGGTCTCATACAGTGGAGTTCTGGACGATTACTGTGGGGAAAGGAAGAGAAAACTGACAACAGATGTAATGAAAGGAGACTAGTGGGAAGAGGATGAAGTAGCAGGGGTAGCCTTGTAGGTCTGGAGATGCTCTTTGGATTTTACACTAACCGTGAAGGGGAAGCCATTGGGGGGTTTGGGGCTGGGGTCCCACATGATCTGGTTTGCATCTCAGAAGGACCATCTTGGCCACTGTCGGATGTAAGAATGGAAACAAGAGACCAGTTGGGAGGCTACTGCAGTCATCCAGAAAAGAGATGACATGGCTTGGAGTAGGGTGGGAACAGTCCAGGCGCTGGTAGACGGTACATTCCCCTCTGATGACGTCTCTCCCAGTGAAACATGAAGCAAGGGCATCCGCCGAGAGGGGGGCTGGGTGGGACATGGGACCATATTTTTATCTATATATTGGAAGGATAGAAAACAAAGGTGACAAAATTAAAAGTTAAAAAATTTATTTTAAACCCTGTGCTTTTAAGAAAAGGTTTAAATATTTTATGGCATTCTATTTTAAGCATTGGCTGTAAGACTTATCTTCAGGGCAGGCACGGTGGCTCACACCTGTAATCTTAGCACTTAGGGAGCCTAAGGTGGGAGGATCTTGAGGCCAGGAGTTCAAGACCAGCCTGGGCTGCATATCGAGATACCATCTTTACAAAAAATAAAAAATTTAGCAGGACATGTTGGCGTTTGCCTGTAGTCCCAGATACTGTGGAGGCTGAGGCAAGAGGCTCACTTGAGCCCAGGAGTTCGAGGCTGCATTAAGCTATGACACCACCTCTTCACTCTAACATGGGTGACAGAGTGAGACCCTGTCTCAAAAAAAAAAAAAAAAAAAAAAAAAAGAGGCTGGGCGCAGTGGCTCACACCTGTAATCCTAGCACTCTGGGAGGCCGAGGTAGGCAGATTGCTGGAGGTCAGGAGTTTGAAACCAGCCTGAGCAAGAGCAAGGCCCTGTCTCTACTATAAATAGAAAGAAATTAATTGGCCAACTAGTATATATAGAAAAAAATTAGCCGGGGATGCCTGTAGTGGGTGCCGGGTGGTGCATGCCTGTGGTCCCAGCTACTCAGGAGGCTGAGGCAGCAGGATTACTTGAGCCCAGGAGTTTGAAGTTGCTGTGAGCTAGGCTGATGCCATGGCACTCACTCTAGCCTGGGCAACAAAGTGAGACTCTCTCAAAAAAAAAAAAAAAGACTTATTTTTGATAAAATATCTTATATTTTCCTTCATAAAAGACCAGTACCCAGCTCCTCCTCCCAATGAAATAACCACTTCATTTCTTATTGAACTCAGTAATTTCTGCAATATCTGTGGGTTTTTTTAAAGTTTTTTGATTTTTAGAGTTAAGAGTCTGCTTTGTCGCCCAGGCTGGAGTGTAGTGGCACCATCATAGCTCACTGTAACCTCAACTCCTGGGCTTCAGTGGTTCTCGTACTGCAGCATCCCAAATAGCTGGGACAACAGGCATACAACACCACGTCTGGCTTGTGATTCATGTTTTGATATGCACCAGTTACTGACACTATTCCATGGACACCAGGCCCCTCCTCTGGGTTTTCAGCTCTGTCAAACTCATAGAATGTGTGTGTGTGCATGAGCACATGTACAAAAGGCAGTCCATGTGATGCAACCGTTTTTACAAATGTTTGCCTTTATGAACAAAACGTATGCCATTTAACTTTATTAAATCATAGAAAACATTTGTATACAAATTTTTCCACTTTGGGGAAACTGGAATATTAAACAGCTGGGTAACAAAACAGTTGAAAGATACATCTTGCTTTAAACAGAGACAAGTTTTAAGTCATCACATTTATTTAAACATAAAAAAAAACTTGAAATAATTAGTAGGTCGTTGGCTTTTTTCATCTTTAGGACAGAGGAATAATATCTCTTATAACCCTCAGTTTTCTTTAACAATATTTTTTACTTAAATCAACAATGAGTTTTAGATGGTTAACTTGAACTCTGAATACAAAATCAATTTCTTTATACCTATGCAGGCTTTTGGAATGCTGTAAATGCTGAATTTTAGGAGATGGTCTAGTTCCACAGGGCTGATTACACTTTGGGTCTTACTATAATGGCAAATGTGTATAACAGTGTGGAATATATTTCAGAATAAGTTAAATATTAAGAAATACAGTATGACAATAATATCCTACTTTTCTTCCTACAAAGTAAATCTGAAAGTTCATCTTAATCTTACACATTTATAAAAGGGGGAAGACTGAGGGATCCAGTGATACTGAAAATACATAACCACCATCAGAACCACATTCTCCAAACGCTTTGGCATAATATATACAAATGGTTCTGCCAGATTCATGCTTGCATTAATTCCACAGGGGATCATAATGAACAGACTTCAAAGCTCACCAAATGAGAACGAGCAGTGTTTTTGTAGTTTAAGTCATCACTTGTTCTGCTTCAGAGCAGAGATCCAGAGGTGACACTGTGACATGTCTACACTCACACCAAATAATCACATTGGCACAAATTATTTTCAAAATCAGTTTAAATTAAATTGAAGACCGCTATTTTTAAGTGCAGGAGATATTTTCCCCCAGCTTCCTGAACAAGTGTTATCAGACAAGAATTAACAAGGAATGTGTCAGAGGCCAACCATCTCCTCTGAGAACTCCCTGGGGTAACATACGAGACCTTTGGCCAGAGAGGGAGGGGAAGACAATTACCCACCTCAAATGGAAGGATTGTATAAAGTCACTTTCCCAAACTCAAGCCTGGATTTTGCCGAGTCATTAGAGAAGGACTGAAAATGAAATCTTTGGACTGGCATCTTGCCTGTGGTGACAGTCTTCTTCCCTAGGACACTTCTTCCCCAAGACCCTTAACATTGCAAGCCTCATGTGAAGCTGTCCCCCAGGTCCTGCCCCCCCCCCCATGATCTGCTCTCTCAGGGAACATGTAAACAAATCTGGGAAAAACCACATTTCTGCAAGTTTTCCTTATGTCAGTGAAAAACCTCTTGGGCTAAGAAAAATAATAATAGGAATGGCAGCCCAAGTGTCAACTTCCTGCAAGGCTTGTCTTCTGCTTATCCTGCTGTAGAAAACTATAAAGCCAAATCAAACACTTTTTGCCTGGCTTGCCCCAAACAGTACTAGTCAGAAACATTGCTTTGGACTGCCTTATTCCTGAATCATGACACAGGCTGATCAGAGCATACTTGGTCTGCCATCTTGTTACTGGGGGTGAGCGGGAGACAAGACCAGGCTTTTGTGCAGGTTGGGATTCTGGCTGTGTCTGTTTCGACTGCGAACAGATGAAAACATGGTGTTGCAGCCCGGCACTTTGCATTTGTGGAGCTGGCGGAGGTGCACTGTTTTGTAGTGGGCCCTAAAGGTCCCTTTGTTACTGTATGTCTTTCGGCAGAGGTGACAGGTTATGGGCAAGCCAGAGTGCAGGCTGGCGAGGCTCTGGTCGGCCTTCTCCATCAGCACACAGATGGGGTACTCGTCCTCCCCAGGGACAAGGCTCGGCCCTTCACAGTTCCCATCGCTGTCATCCATGAGCACGGTGCCCTCCTCACTAGCCCCGTCAGAGTCCCAGGAGGAATGGCTGCTGCTCTCCGACTTCATGCTCGAGGTAGTGCTCAAATCCAGGATGGTTCCCTCACTCAGGGGGCCAGAGCTGTAGTTCTCCAGGCTGGCACCGTGGACCTGGGTTATTGGGTAAACCAGACTGCCCATTCGACTCGTTCCCTTGAAGATGACAGATGTCTGGGAGGCTTGCTGTGTGAAAGCCACATCCTGATAGGCCTCCTTAGCCACATCTTTCAGAAGGTAAGCTGCACGGAAATGGTCTCCACTGCTCTCCAGTGCCTCTTGGGTCAAAGCTTTTTGGTGGAGGTTTAGGTTTGAACTATGTCTGCAAGAGTAAAAAGACAGTTAGCAATGGGTTGGGCTGTTATTTTAGGAAGAATCATCACTCTGATGATTCGGAGTGGAAGGACTCGGTAGATACCAGGAATTACTTGGGGCATGGGAGAAGCAATGGTAAAGGGTAAGGCTCCTGGGGATGTCATTCATGTTTAGTGGGCCCTGGCCCACTGTCATCAGAAGTCATCATTCACTAGGAGAGCCAACCGTCTGGAAACTGGGAGTATGTAGTTCTCTTCAATTTCTACCATCTGACTGACATGTGACTTCCTGTTCCTCGTCTTTAGAGAATGGCTAGATTACTTCAATTAGGCCAGTTTAACTGGGACACTGGAACTAGGCAATCCCAGGAGAAAACTGGTCACAAACTATAAGAAACTATGCAGAGAACTTTATTTCAATGAAACCAGGAAATAATAACTTTTGAGCTGCACTGTTCAGTATGATAGCCACTAGCCATATGTATACACTGAGCACCCAAAATGTGGCCAGTGTCATATATTGAAATAATAATATTTTGGATATGCTGAATTAAAACTTATTTCATGTTTTTTACTTTTTAATGTAGCTATTAGAAGATTTAAAATTTCCTATGTGGCATGCATTATATTTCTTTTGGATAGTGTTGGTCTAGAGCATTTGCATACACTTCACCTCGCAAGTTCTGCAAGTATGGGTGAGAATCTGACTGGTGAGAATTGTGTGTTTGTGTAGTTTAGGTCACATCTACAGCATTTCACCATACTATACCAGACACTAGTTTTGCAAATGCAGCAGTATAAGCATACCACCAATCTTCTACCCAATGATTATTCCTGAAGGGCAGATAATGAGTATCTATTATGACACATGCCTTTTACTCATATGTTATCATTTGGATGTAACTTGTAAATCAATGTTGTTCTTGCTCAGAGATTCCCTGCTAACTTCTGACAAGCAAAAACAGCCTTTGCTAAGGGATACAATGTAAAAGGTGACAGGAGAATGATTCCAAACAGAGAAAATACTTCCCTCAATACAGATCAGAGTATATGGCGGGGAAAGTAGGGAAAAGCAGCCTCACCAAAATAACTAAGAATTGAATTTTCTCTTCTAAATCCCCAAAAATGTGTGTGTGTGTGTGTGTGTGTGTGTGTGTGAGGCTCAATAATATTTCATTAAATTCACAAAATGTACTATTCAACTTCTCTCTTCTATCTCCTGATGCACTTTTTTTCCTGGACATAATGAGAATTACACTCCCAGATCACCCACTTTGCAAGTAGCTCTTCTTAACTGCAACTCTGCCCTGTGATTATGTCAGCATTCTGGTCGAAGGGGCTGGTATGTGTCGGCAGAAAACCAGACACGAGATTGACGTATAGGTTCCAGTATATACAAGTGGTTTAAAAAAAAGTCAAACACATTTACTGGAACCATGTACAGAAAGGTCCCTACTGCAACAAAGCAAACCTCTGGGCCTCATGCCCCACTCCTGAGTAGCCCGTGAATACCAAGAGCTAACATGGAGGTGCCTCTCAAGTCTCGGAAGGTTAGATGCATTTCCCAAGGTGCCACATCCCGAGACCAGTAATGACCACAACTGCAAAAACCGTGTGCCAGGCTTTCTGTTTCACTTTGCTAACGCTGTGCTCACTGTTGCCCATGTCTGTATCTCTTTCCTTCAATCTCTGTCTCTCCCTCCAACTCTTCCATCCTCGCCTCTGACAATTTTGATTAGTTAAGGCCAGTGGTTCTCAAGGTGTCCCTGAGACCCTTTCAGGAGGTTTCTGAAGTCACAACTTCATAATGATACTAAGATATTCTTTGCATTTTTCAGTGTCATTCTTTCACAAGTGTAGAGTTTTCCAGGGGATATGTCATGTAGATTATTACAACAGATTGAGTGCAGAAGCAGACATGAGAACCTAGCTGTCTTCCACTAAGCCAGACATTAAAGAGATGTGCAAAAATATAAAACAAAGCCATTCATTTCATTAAATTTTGAAAAATGTAGTTATTTTTCATTAAAATGTTATAATGTGTTTATTATATTTAAGTGATATTTTTTCATTTTTAATTTCTATAATAATATGACAAATATTGATAGATATAACCCAAATGAGAATACCTCTTAGGGTTCTTAGGTTTTAAGTGTTTGTAAAGGAGTTATGAGACCAAAATGTTTGAGAGCTGCTGGTCTAGACACACACCGTCTTCCAGGAAGCCTTCCTTATGTTCTCAAGAGTCTGGTTAGGTGCTGGCTCATATGCCCACGGCAGCCTGTATTTCCCCCATGTTAAGCCATCACATTCAGCTGTAACTGTCTATTTACTGGTCTGTCTCCCCCACTACACTGAAGGCCTTTGTGGACAGGAATTGTGTCCTCAGCACCTAACACAGAAAGTTCTTGATAAATATTCTTTGGTGAATAAGCATCCGGGATGCTGTCCCAGTCCCTTCCTGGGGGTCCTAGTACCTGCTGCTGGCAGTAGCAGTGGCTCAAGGATGGGAAGCTAACTGTCCCTACAGCAACGTGATTCTGATCTCTGACTCAGAGAAATGGTGATGAGTCTGGGCCTGCCTATAAAGTCCTATTTAAAATGGTGTCATTTTAATCATACATTCCAAATTCTAGACTATGGGAATTAGTCATTTTCATTTAGAATTCAAGATGCTTTCCTATTGTGGTGGTGGTGGGGTGCTCAGATCTACAAATAGGTTAGAACATAAGACAATATTAAATATATGAAAAAATAAATATCAAAGGACAATGTATCTTGAATCCAATATGCCTTCTAATTTAGTAGCTATTTTAGGCTAGAATAGTACCATAAATGTCAAGGATAATCTGACCAATAGGACAATCTCTTCTTCATAACAACGGCTTATTCATGAACAAACGCTCCTCCTCTTGAAGGATGAATGAGAAGGACTGGTTCGCTAATTAGAGTACCCGGGTGGTGTGGTTCAACATCCTAGCAACAGAAACAGGAATTCTAACTAGTATCTCCTATGCTCTATCTTCTTTGCTAGAAGACAATGAGTATGTTCTTATGAGCCTTGTCCAGGAATGTGTGTGGGAGTCTGTACATTTTCACCCTCTTAACAAATTAGGCATTACAATTTGGATTAAATGCTGGTGTTGAATTGCTTCAAGTCAAGCTTGTTTCAGCAAATGCAGCATTTTAATATTCTGTGAGCCATTCAGCACTTATTATATTGCACTTTATCAGACGGCTGATCTTTTCCTTAAGTCTCCTGGGGTCATCTTTCGGTCTGCTTGTTCTTACGTTTATAGGCTGGGGAGGAAGGTGACCTGAAGAGTGGTTAAATGATTCAAATTCATGAAGAAAAGCACAAGCAAGATGGTAAAGCCCATGCTGTGTCCCCAGAGTGATGATATGTGCTCTGTAGGGGGGCACTTTGTAAATAGTTTGACTGTATGTGTGTCATAAAAACTCATGATCTTTTAACCACACATCACAGCCTCTGAAACAACCTGCCAATAGCCTTTATTCTTTGATACCTTAATATTTTTAAAAATCTTCAAATAAATAGTTAATTCTTCCTCTTTCTTTTTTTCTTTTTTAGAGACAGGGTCTCACTGTTGTCCAGGCTGGAGTGCAGTTGTGCGATCACAGCTCACTGTAACCTTGAAATCCTGGGCTCAAGCGATCCTCCCACCTTAGCCTCCTGAGTAGGTAGGAAAATAGGCATGTACTACCACACCTGGTTAATTTAAAAAGAAAGTTTTTTTTGGTAGAGACAAGATCTCACTATGTTGCCATAGCTGGTCTCAAACTCCTGGCCTTAAGCCTCCCAAAGTGGTGAGATCACAGGCATGAGCGAGCCACTATGCCTCGCTAATTCGTACTTTCAAATGTAGCTGGTTAAATAGAAATCAAGGAAAGTGTTTCATTTGATAGACTTCATATTATAAAATAAAAATCAGACAAATTTTGGGAAGCTACCGTGGTAATTTAAAGAGCTCCCTCCTTACTCTTCAAATAGTTACTTATCTTTATCCAAGCTGCTAATGTGAGAACTAGTTCATGATTCCTTATCCCATACCCTTGGGGCTAGATGTGTTCCTGAATTCAGAATTTGTCACACAGAAAGGCAGAATTATGCATATACTGAAATATTATGTTATTTTGTACTAAACATATTACCACTCTGTACTGAACATATATAAAAAATCCACACAAAGAGGGATTAAAAAAAGATTATAAATAACCTCACCATCATTTCAAGTCAGGTTTTGCAGGCAAGTGAGTTTAGATTTTTGGAAGTGAAAATTCATGAATGTGGAAATATGAAAATTAGAACAGTGTTTCTCAAACTGATCCCTGGAACAGTAACATCAGCATCACCTGGGAACTTGTTAGAAATGCAAACTCTCAGGCCTCATCCCAGACTCAGTGAAGCAGAAATTCTAGGGATGAGAAGAAGTCTGTGTTTTAACAATACTACAGGTGATCATGATGCATATTAAAGTTTAAGTACCACTGCATTAGACGTTAGAAGAAATGATTGCCAACAAATGTCTTACCTGTCTCTGCTCCTGCGGGAAGGGAAGGTGGCATTGCAGCCCTCCACCGTGCATGCGTGCGTTTCTTTGGCATGTATATTCTTGTGGTGCATTTTCACACTGCAAGCATTTTTAAAGGTCTTCTTGCAGATGTCACACTGGAAGTGATTTTCTTCCTTCTGCCTCATTAATGCATGCTGACCCATGTGCTCCAGTTCTTTAGACTCTTCGAGACAAGGAAAAGCCATTCCCCTGTTGGACAAAGCACCGAAGAGTCCTCCAGCCAGCAGGCGTTGCTGCAGTTCCATGTAGTCAGAAAAAGGAACTCGGGGCTCTATCCCAGGTGAAAAGTGATGTTCAAGGCCACCATCCTCCACCTCTCTTGGCACCATGATCAATGCCGGCATCTGTTCAGTCCCTCTCTCTGAGTTGTGTGTGGTCTGCTCAGGGGTTCGGCTGATGGCTCTACTGGACTCAATCACTGATTCAAGATGGCAGGGCCTCTCTTCTTCAGGAAGAGGCTTCCCTAAGTTTCCTGACTGCATGTGCTGCTCCTCAAATGCTCTGTCTGACTGAGGGCTGCAGGCCTCCGGCTCATCTTCACTGACCACCTGCAGGGGCAGGTCTTCATCTGAGCTGAGGCTGTGCCTCTTCTCAGCTATTTCCACAGCTTCCTTCTCTATTTTGATAGGCATACTGGACTTCCGGGATTTCTTCTTGGGAAGGGCATCGAATGTCATTTCGTTTGAAACCAGCTGTTCTGGGATTGAAGAGGACAACAGAGGAAGAGAAGGCAGCATCCCAGGTGTGTTTGCCAGCTCAGCGGGCGTGGCTGGACTGCGGTAGAAAGGAAGGACTGGCTGGACTGTCTTCAGGTTGGGAAAGAGCACACCATTCTGGACAATGTTTGGGAAAGCAGGCTGGCTTCTGGAATCCTCCCCTGACCCAGGGTAGCTGGGAAGAGGCCTACAGTCCGGTGATGTCACCGTGAAACCTGGGCGCTTGTAGTTCTCAGAGCTTGCCAGGTTCAGGCTGTTCCTGAGATCTTTGTCTCGGTTATTTCTGTTCATTGGCATGTGCAGCCGAGGGTTGGGGTTGGCACTGTGGCGGTTCCGGCTCCTTAGGGAGCTGAACACCATGTTACACCCTTCGATGGTGCACTTATGCTTGATCTTCAGGTGGACAGCGTTGTAGTGGATCTTGAGGGTGCCTTTGTCATAGAAGGTCTTCTCACATGCAGTGCAGAACACCCGGCCCTTCTTTGTGCTGAGGCTATTCCTCTCAGGCTTCACCTTGGCCTCAGGGGACAACCGTGTCCTTTCAAGCTTAGCCACAATGTTGTATGAGCTGGAGTCACTTAAATGGGTATTGTCTTCTTTTTTAGTAACAGCATCTGGGCAGTTTAAACACTGATCTTTGTCAACCTGAAATGGTGTGGAAGTTAAGAAACTGCTATCAGGGAAGGGCCCATGGATTTCCTGTTTGGGGTCCTGACTTTGGTCCTGACCCTGCTCCAGCATATATTGATCAGGCAGTGACCCTATCAGTGGAGGCAGAGGGTTGAAGAACTGGAAAGGCAGCATGAAAGTCATGTTGCTTATGAAGTTCTCAAAGGGGTGTATACTGCTGGGGTTTCCTTTGTCCACAGGAGTGGGGAGACTAGAACTCCTGTGGGTGCAGCTCTCGATGAAAGCCCTGATATCTACATTTGTTGTAGAAGGTGGTATGATGATGGATTGCTCTTCTTTCTCTTGAATTGCCATGAGTTCAACTATGGACTTGGTCTCTCCAAAACGAAGAAACTGTTGCAAGGTGGCCACTTCCTCCTCAGTGGTCATGATGCTCCAGTGATCCAGCACTTTTCCTGATGCATCCTAAACCCAAACCCAGAATTTAGAAGTGTGATCAATTTACAACACCTTGTTCTTTTCTCTAAGAAAGAAGCTATTTGGTGAGGGCCTCTACTAGTCTTTAAGGTATCAGAAAAAGATACACCCTCCCCCCCCACCATGAGCACAGGGTTTGGGGAGTTGAGTCCCTGCTCACCCTACAGTCCCAGGCCAGAAGCTTTATGCAGAACCTAAACTGCACAAATGTGAGCAGTGATCCTACAACTGGTTTACAAGAGTGAAATAATATATTACTCAAGGTGAAGCCAGAGAAACTTGGTGATTATTTTTTACCTTATTTTAGACCAATTTGTTTTCTTGCATTAGGCATAATAATTTTCCCCACTAAAATTAAAATATGTATCATTTGAACAATAGTAACTTCTTTACCTAAAGAGTACAGATGGAGCAATCAGGCCTAGATATAGCCCAAACATTCATTTGCTGAAAGTTTAATAATCTTCCTAAGCAACTAACATCAGAAAACAAATGAACCTGTATTGATCTATTGCTCATGTTCACAAAGCAGAGCTGTAATTATACTAGAGTGTTGGAGATCTTTCAAACTCTAGCAAGGCCTAACTTTTCCCAAAACTACAATAAATATTTTATCACAGAACATGTATTTGATGGCCTACTGAGATTTTTCACAGTGCATGTAAGAGTTTTGAAGATGATGAGGAATGTTACATCATAAATTTTTCATGCACTAGAGGTTCAAGGTAATTGATTCCATATTTTTAATCCTAACACTAGAAAGCAAGATTATTAGGATCATTAAATATTGATCGATGTCATAATGTAAGATCATAATGCTACTCTACATAAACGGTTGTTTCTAGCCTGCTAGGGGTCCTGCACTAGAGGTGAGTAAATGTGTTTCCAGGGAAAGATTATGGGGTTTTGAGTTAGAAAGAAGTGGCATCAAATTCTGGGTCTGCCACATACTAGTGAAATGACTTTCAGCAAGATTTTGAAGCAACTATGAGCCCTTGGTTTTTTGACTAGAAAATGGGGATAATATACCTACCTTGTAGGATTACTGGAAGAGGGCCTAGGTCAATAAAGGGTTGTTATTCAGGTTCATTTTAATGATATGGCCTACCTGAGTAAGGCTGAAGTCTATGTTGGTCTTGGAAATACATTCATCCCCCATTGCACTGAAATTTTTACCAAAGTTAGTTGATATTTTCTAGTGTAGTAGGAAGAGAAAAATGCTGTAGTTGTTTCATATCTCAAAGGAATGATATACTTCATCTCAGGAAACATGTTCTTTGCTTGTAAAAACACCTTGATGGCCTCTTTAGATATGAAATAGGAGGCCTACGCCCAAAGCATGGTCTGGGAAGAGAAGTAAACTACTCTGCAAAATAAAGAGGAGAAAAGGGATGAAGGACATGGGAACACTAGAGAAAATAAGAGAAAATTTGAGGAGGCCAAAAGAGAATTGGAGAGAGAGAGAAAGAATGAGCAAGTGCAGGAGCACAGAAATATCACAAGAAATGGAGCTGAAGGAGGAAAATTAGCAGTGGATGGCAGAGGGCTATAAGAACAGGAGGGTGTGGCATGAAATTGTAAGTTCCCTTTTAACCTCCAAACTCTCAGTAAAATCTCATACAGATAGCATCTTGTGTCAGTAGGTAGTTTGGGGCAGAAACTAAACGAAATGGAGGCAGCATCCAAGATGGGACAATGCAGTTTGCTATGGAAGAGGGGGCTCAGCGAAGGCAAAATCAGAGAATATGTAATGTGTCCACATCCTAAGTCTCACAGACATCTTGGGGAAAGTACTGGACTTCTCCCAGAACATGAGATTGGGCCTTAAACCATTCCAAAAAAATATTAAAGAGAAGGATGATCACTAAAGCTGTAGCACTGGGAGGCAACTGGGTTACATCAGTTACATGGGCACAAATTTCAGAAAACACTTGGGGAGATCAGTGGCCGTGAACACTGTACCTGTAGCACATATCCACGGATGTAATCCTGAAGGGTCCAGTCCAAGGCATGGAGGATCTGGAGAACCTCATCTTGCTTCAATACACTGAAGAGTCGGTCAAGTAGGATTTTCAGGCGAACAGGGATGGCCTGGGTCCCATAGAGCATGAGGCTGCTAATATCAAACACCACATTGGACTGGACAATCTCTACCTGGCTTGTTGGATACACAGCAGGGATCCTCAGCTTACTTAGAGCTGAAAAATCAAATTGAAGAAATATCATTTTGAAAAGTTCTAATTTTAAGAGAAACACTACACAGAAAGTAGGATAGGGCTAATTCTCAGTTATCTGTTCCAACAGAAAAAAACATGGATATGCAAACAATTAACAACCTTAATAGTAATCTGGCTTCAAGTTATCCACAGGAACAGAAGTTATCCACAGGAACTTCTAAAACAAAATTGACTGGCCTGAGACTTTTCTGTCTTTCTTGTGGCTTCTCTAAGGAGTGAAATAGTCACAAACACAAAGGAACAAGGAAAAAAGGGAAAAATAAAGGTGGCAAGTGCATAATCAAGAAGATGGATAATCAGGAAGCATAAAGTCTGGAGGGAAAGAACCTGAGCTTGGGAATCTGAGAGATCTGGATTTGAGCCTTAGTCCGCCACTTTCTAGTTGTGGGATTTAGCAAATTACACCACCTAAAGCTAAGCTGTCCAATGCCATCGTTGCCAGCCACATATCACTGTTTAAGTTTATATTTAAATAAATTAAAATTAAATAAAACTAGAAATTCCATTCTTCAGCACACTAGTTATACTTCAAGTACTCAGTAGCCAAGTGGTTCCTGTAGGGGGTCATATTTGGCAAATAAAAAAACAGGATGCCCAGTTAAATCTGAGTATAAAATTCAGATAAACAATGAATGGGTGCAATATACTAAAAATATTTATTGGGGCATACCTAGGCTAAAAAATTATTCATTGTTTATCTGAAATTCAAATTTAACTGGGCAGTCTGTATTTTATCTGGCAACCCTAGGCCAGAGCTACCATGTTAGACAGCACAGAACATTTCCATCATAGCAAAATGATAGCACTAAAGCACTAATTTCTACATCTTTAGAACAAGGTTAATAAGACACTTACCAAATAGAGTTGTTAAGATTCAAAGAAATAACATAGATAAAGCTCTTCTTATCTTAGCCTGTTACCTGGCACATACTAGTAACTTACTAGTTAGCTTACCAGTTAGCTGTCATTCTTAAACATTAACCAGTTCCTGAATAATTGTAAGTTATTTAGGGGGAACACTACAGGCCAAGAGAGAGGGAAAAATAAAGTTACCATGGGCTACCCATCCATGTTTGCACTGCTCACACTGACGGTGGTTTATTTTCCCAGGTTTGAAACTTTGGCAACTACAGTCCAGAGTACAGCCAATAGCCTGCAAAAGAGGAAAACACAGGTATAGATAGCATGTAAATGATGTGTGGAATACAGATTGCATTTACCAAACAAAACCTATTCCTCCGTCCAGAATTTTTGAGCAGTGAGTGCCCACGTTGTGCCAGGCCCAGAGGTGTATATCTTACCCTGGAAAGACAAGTAGCCGACATAGCACCTGGAGACTGTAAACACATTACACAGACATTCCACATGTGAGAACAGGATAAAAAGCATCAGAACTTTTTATAAGAAAAGGGTATGGGTTGGAAAGAACTATCCTGCTCTGTCATTAAGCTCCTAGAAAGGGTGAATAGACACATTTTCACCAAATCTCTGAGTTGACCAGAGCAGCAACCCTTAAAGGTGCACAGAGGCTGTCTTGGAACAAGTAAAAGGGAGAACAATCTGAACCGAGAGCAATCCATGGATCGTATTTCCCCCAACCCCACCAGAGGCTGAAAATATAAATAGATTTGAGAACATGTAATGGCTGACTACACTGAGAACGATTCTACTAACTGGACCACGTGACTGTTGGAGACATATGCAGGCTGGACAAGCCCTGCACAGATGCCCCAGGTGCATGTTATGGTGCCGTCTTCGGTGTGGGGGCGTGGAGTGTACAAAAATACAGCTCAAATACAAAGTAGAGATGTACGTATGCAACAAAGTTCTAATATTAAGAACAAAACTTCACATACATTTTAAAGGTGAGTTTCTCAAAAAGAGATAGAGGCCTGAAGAATATAATCTATTATTGAAAAGAAAAGGCCCTCAATGGAGCTCTGTCATTGACGTTCGCGAGAAGAGCCGCTGGGTGGAATCTGTGTGATTCACGAGAGCCTTGAAACTGGCGAGTGTGTGTGTGTTTGGAGGAGGGATGAAAAGCCCTACAATTATGGGTTTAAACCTCTAATCTGCCAATAGAGAGACTATGTGGCCTTGCATGGGAGACAGGGAAGGGAGAATCTGGCTGAGGACTTGGGAAACTCAGTTTAAAGAGTATATAACCAGTCTTTACTTAAAAATCAGTTGCTGATGGGAATGTAAAATGATACAGCCCCTTTGGGAGATATTCTGACAATTCCTCAAAAAGTTAAACGTATAGTTACTATATGACCCAGAAATTCCAGTCCTAGGCATATACCTGAAAACGTATGTTCACACAAAACCTTGTACATGAATGTTCATACCAGCCTTATTTGCAATAGCCAAAACATAGACACAACGCCAACATCTATCAACTGATGGATAAACAAAACATGGTAAAATCCATACAATGGAATATTATTTGGCAATAAAAAGGAATGAAATACTAATACATGCTACAACATGGATGAACCTTGAAAACATGCTAAGCAAATGAAGTTAGGTACAAAAAGTCACAGATTGTGTGATTCCATTTACATGAAATGTCAAGAATAGGCCAATCGACAGAGGCAGAGAGTAGATTAGTGGTTATCAGGGGCTGCAGGGAGTGGGGAAGGGATGGGGAGTGACTGCTAATGGGTGCTGGTGGTGGGGAGAGTATTCTTTGTTTTCATCTCTTTAAGAACAGCTTTACTGAGATATGATTCACATATCATATAAACCACCCATCATATAATCCACTCATTTAAAGTGAATGGATTATACTAAAAATTCAATGATTTTTAGTATACTTACAGAGTTGTGCAACCATCATTGCAATCTAATTTTAAAACATTTTCATATTCCCCCAAAGGAACCTGTGTACAAGTTTATGGTGGACATATGTTTTCATTTCTCTTGGGTATAGTCTTAGGAGTAGAACTGCTGGATCATACGGTAACTCTATGTTTAACTTTCTGAGGAACTACCAAACTGTTTTCCAAAGCAGCTGCACCATTTTACATTCCCACCAGCAGTGTAAGAGGGGTCCAATTTCTCCACATCCTCGTCAACACTTGTTGTCGACTGTCTTTTTTATTATAGCCGTCCTAGTGGGAGTGAGTGATATCTCATGGTTTTGATTGACATTTCCCTGCTGGGTAATGATGTTCAGTATCTTTTCATGTGTTTATTGGCCATTTGTATATCTTCTTTGGAGACATGTCTATTTAGACCCTTTGCCCATTTTAAAACTGGGTTGTCTTTTTAGTATTGAGTTGTAAGAATTATTTACGTATTCTAGGTACAAGCCCATTACCAGTATATGATTTGCAAATATTTTCTCCTATCCTTAGATTATCTTTTCACTTTCTTGATGGTGCCGTTTGAAGCACATAAATTTTAAATTTTGACCAGTTTCTTTTTGAAGTGATGAAAAGGTTCTAAATTAGATAGTACTGATGGTTGCCTAACTTTATGAATACACTAAAAGCCACTCAATTGTACACTTTATAAGGGTGAATTTTATGGTCCGTGACTTACATGTCAATAAAAATATTACTAAAAAATTGTTATTTATATCACCCTGCCTAGATATAGGTTAAAATGTCTATGATTTGACTTTCGTCTATGATTTCTTAGGATTAGGATGGACTTGAACACAGCTGCAACTAGAGATTTTCAGGTAAAGAAACAGGGCTGGTTCATAACTGAGGTATACGGCAAATAGCAAGAGCATTGCCTAATGTGTTCAAGAGGCTACCACAAAACAGGAGACGTGGTAGAAAAGGTTTTGCTCTTTGTAAAGTTGTAAAATACAATACAAAGAAATCCATGTGATCACAATGTCTTGCTTTAACAATGTATGCATTCTCAAGGGGGGTTATATCATCCGCAAAGGAGTAAAAATTTGTTCTTAGGGAGTGAAAAATTACTTTTTATGTATAAACCACAGAGATACATTCATACATAAACAGATATATAGTACTATATGGTATGATATTAAAATTTCACTGGGGAAACAAATTAGGAAAAAATTTCTAAAATCTCCTTAGATATGAGGGGTAATAAAAAAAAGATTGAGAAACACTATTCTAATGCCAGAAATTACTTTACTTTTTGGTTACAGAGTTTCTACTTGTATATACATATACAAATGTATTAAATACATAAACATATACATCTATATAACTATACCTATAAACATAATTATATAGTTATCTTGAATGTAAGTTAAAGGATACAAGTGAGTGATGGTTTACTTTATATTACATACTGTCAAAACAAAAATTTTAAAAAGGCAACATTAGCTTAGTTGTGGCACACCTAATATGTTGTCCGGCATCTCAAACTTGGCTGCAACCCTCTGAACATCAGATGAACCAATCATCTGCATATTCTCCGTACCTAACAGCACACTCAATTCTAAATCTCTAAAATATTTCACAATCTAGATTCTATAAATATGAATATTTTCAAGAAAAAATTTTTTAAAGGGAGAAAACTTATTTTGGATCATATCCCTCAAGACATCATTCACTCTTTAAAAACAAGATGTTGGAATTATACAAGTAAACTCGCATTTCATTTATTAGAAGAATTAGACATGCTTTCACCAGAGATAGAGATGTCCTGGAACAAATGCTTCCTCCACTCCTGAGGACTCTACTCAAAAGACTCACACTCATGCAAACTCCCAGGAAACTCTGGGTGACTCTGTCTCAGGCTCAGTACAGCAAAACCATACAGGGAGCAATTGCAGGCACATCTCAAGGCCTAAGACTGAAACTTATCTTCTGCATCTCTTGTCCTCTGACTCAGGTTTTCTCAACTTTGGCACAATAGATATTTTGGGCTAGATAATTCTTTGTGGTGTGGGGCTGTCCTGTGCATTGTATAATGTCTGATAGCATTTCTGACCTCTACCCACCAGAGGCCACTTATACCCCACTCCTCCAGTGGGACAGCCAAAAATGTCTCCAGACATTACCAAATGCCCTTAAGATCTATACCACCCCAATCGAGACCACTGACCTAAACTAACCATTCAGTTTTAGCAGCTTTTAGTTTGGGGACAGAATTTTAAACAATTTTATCTATAATCTCAATGCTTGAATGTTGCTTTGTAAGAAACATTCATGTGGCTCTACATGAATCCATTTGAATAAGGCTTAAATAAAGCTCATTAAACATCTATGGAAATAAATCTCAGAGGAATTATTTATGAACTAAAAAAGCTAATTACAATGTCTAAGAAAACTTCCAATCTAAAGGCCCTTGGGTTTTTCCGCCCATCTCAGAACTTCATGATATAGTAAAATTATAACACCATTATCTGAAGATAAATTAAAACTTCTAAAATGAAATTAAACCCCAAAATTCTAATTACAGGACAAAAAGTACTCATGTAAATCAAAATGGAAAACTCTTTAAATTTACATACTTTCCTTTGGAATCCTAATACTTGTTCCATTTTTCAGAAACATAAAGCAGATGTTTACAACATTCTGAACTCATCAAGACATGATTATTGCTTTTTACGCACTCATCTTAATCAGACTATTTCCGGAATTGTTATTAGTCACTTTGATGTGTTACAAATCAACATATAAAATTCTGGTTTGATTTTTTGTAACTACCATTTGCTTATTTATTCATCCAAAAACTACTGACACACCTAGTATGTGATGGATGATTTGGGTTTGCAGTCTTGGGATGGAAGTTATAATCTAGCTTTTAGGTAGGCTCAGGGGACCCACTTCCTTTTCCACACACCCCTGCTCTACCTTCAGAGTGGGGGGATGATACCCCAGGCCTCTTGTCAGGAGATACTGCGTTGAATTCCTGGAAGTGGCTAGCCAAGGCACACGATGGGGTAGATACACACACATCCCGTGCCCGACAGTGTAGGCCTCTGATGGGATTTGAATTATTGAGTTCAAGAATAAACTGTTTACTTCAAAGCTGTTTTTATCTCTCTTACATGCAGATACTTTCACATTACTGAAGATAAATTCAGGGAGATGGTCTTGGGGGACTAGATGGAAAGGTGGAGAAGGGAAAATAGAAGATCCTTGGGGTTCCCAGATTCACAGCATTAGCCCTTTGAGGGAAGTCATTTGTAATATAGCTTCAGCACAGTGCTGAATT